TCCAAAGACCCCAATGACAGCCATCACAGCTAGGCCATCCCGGCGTTACTGGTGCGCTTTATCCGCCTGTACTGGCCCGATACGCGCATTGTGTTACGAGGTGATAGTCACTTTTGTCGCCCCCGGATGCTGAACTGGTGCGATCGGCATCACGTTGACTATATCGTGGGTATCGGTCCCCCCCCCCCACCGTTCTGCTTCCCCTCTCCCCTTCCCCTCTCCCCATCCCCTTGCCGCTCCTTTCCGGAAGGGCGGCGCGGAATCCGCACTCTTTCTACGCGAAAACAACGCCGCGGCAGGGCAGGCGCGTACGGAGCGAGGCCAGCAATGCGCCCCATTTTCGCCACCTCTCGATTTTTCGGAAATTCCGCCCCGTAACACACGCGCCGCCAAAAGCTTTTTCCACCCCGGCCACGAAATCTCTCTTATCTCCTCCACCGCACCACGTCCGCACCGCCCCGCATCCCTCCTGCCGTTGCACTTCGCCACCGTCCCGCACCCCTGCAACCACTCCCCTCCCCCCTCCCCCCTCCCCTCCCCTCCCCCTTTCTTCACACTACCTTCCATGGTGTTTCGACCCGAGGCTGCCGCCAATTGGTTTCTCACATGGGATGAGGACGCGGCCGACGCCGGCAAGTCCTTCCTGCTGCAGGTCAAGATAGCCGCCCTTTCGTTCCGCGACCTGCTCAGCGACGGCATCAACTCGTACGCCACCATCTGCCGCCAGCGGAACGGCCCGGACTCGGCGTGGGAGCTGCTAGGGAAGACCGCCATCATCAAGGACGACCCCAACCCGGAGTATCCGGAGGGCTTCCGCGTCTTTTATGAGCAGGACTCCAATTTGTCCGAGGACCTGCTCAAGGTCATTTGCTACCATAAAAGGGACGGCCTGGGCCACGAGGACGTCATTGGAATCGCCTGTATCTCCGTCAGGGAGCTCGTCCGCACCTTTGGCACCAGGGTCCAGGTCGAGCTGCTGAGGAAGAAGTCCCAAAAAGTCGCCGGCTCTATATGCTTTATGGGCGAGGCACTCCCGCACCACTCCCCGCGCGGCTCCAATACCACCTTCGACTTTCATGTCGCCGCCATGACCCCGCGGAAGAACGACGGCAAGTACCAATTCGCCAAGATGTTTCTCGTCATTTCGAGGGAGCGCGACGACAAGACCTGGGGCATTGTGTATCGGAGCGACGTCGTGAAGAAGCTCGCCATCGTCAATCTCACGAAGAGCAAGCACCAAATCGTGTTCAAACCATTCCAACTGAGGCAGGCCGAGTTCGTACTGGGCATGACGCCGAAGCGCAGGATAAAATTTTCCTTCTTTCAAAAGGGGAGGCGCGGCGAGCCGCACATCAGAATCGGGCAAGTTGTCACCAGTGCCGAGGAACTGCTGCAAGACTTTGCGGAAGACACGAGCTTGGACTTTATGTTGGACGACCGCGTCATTGGCGAGTTTGCAAATGTCGCCCGCACGGAGGAGAAAAACATCACCAAGTTGAACATCGAACTCAACTACTTCGACTCGGAGCGCGAAGCGCGAGAGATCAAGGAGCGCGGCAAGCGAAAAGTGATGAATCTCAACAGCCCATGACACACGCCATGGACAAGCCGACGCAGTGCTTCGGCATGGTTAACAGCATTGAACACTCGCCCAATCCGTCTTGCAAATAGATAACCCGCATCTTCTGCATGCGCACCAGAGATCGGCTACAGTCCAGCTTCTGCCGCACAACAACAACTTACTCGATTCTTTAACGGTCAAACGCGATTGATGAACCATGTAACTTGTTCTTCTTTTTTTCGTCAACCTTCAGAGGCTTTTATGCTTTCGTGAAAACAAATATAGACTGCTTCGATCGCGGTGTTGCATCGCCGTGAATTAATCATACTTGGGAGGACTGCTTGTGAGCATTGTTGAACTCCACTTGTTGACCGAGTGATGCAACTTGTAAGATTTATCCACGTAAATTTTAGTTTTCTCATTCGTCCATGCAGCAGATCCCGTCTTCCCGAAGCCTTGCCCGTCGCTGCCCGTCGCGTGCTTTTAGATGCAGCGTGCGGCTGTGAAGCACGCTAAAGAGGCTTGCTCAACAATTTGCTCTGCCTCTGTTCGACTGAACTCAATGGACGTTAATTGCGGCCCGCCATTCCCATCAACAAATCGGTGCAGTGGTCGTCGCTTCCACGACAAGAGTCACGAGTCCGTTACTGGCGCGATGATTGGTGAATGTGCGCACGTCGCCAATACCGTACGGTATGATAAGCTCGTGCAAACCTCTAATAAACCTCGGCTCCTCGGTGCGCATCAACCTTATCTCACCCGGGCTCTGCCGTGCTCCCGTGCCTGCCAACAATTCACCCGCGCCTTCATGCTCCCTGCGCATTCACCGACCGCCCCCTCGCCGCCATCCGCACGAACATGAGCGTGCAGCATGGCGTCCCAACCAGCAGCCTCTGCGGAAGGCGCGGCCCCCGTCCCCTACGCCTCGCTCAAGACGCTCGCGGCGGGCGCCGTCTCGGGCGCCGTCGCTAAGACGGCCGTGGCCCCGTTCGACCGCACCAAGATCCTCATGCAGGTCTCCCAGATGTACGGCTGGAAGCGCTACCGCGGCTCCGTCTGGGACTCCATGCGCACCATCTGGCGCACCGAGGGAATCCCCGGCTTCTTCAGGGGCAACTCCGCCACCGTCGTTCGCATCATGCCGTACGCCGCCGTCCAGTACCAGTCGTTCGAGTTTTATCACCGCGAATTGTCGCATTACGTCTTCCGCTCGGATAACCCCAGCCCCGCGAAAAGGTTCATCGCGGGCGCTATGGCGGGGTCTACGAGCGTCTTATGTACATACCCCATCGATTTGGCGAGAACTGTGCTCGCGGTCCAGGTCGCCAGCGATGCATCTACAAAGCCCGTCAGGAGGTTGGGTATACTTGCCACTCTGTATACTATCGGACGCGAAGAGGGGATGCATTCTTTGTACCGCGGCATGTATCCTACGCTTGTTGGTGTCATTCCGTACGCAGGAATCAGCTTTCTGTCATTCGGCATTCTGAAACGATTTGCAGACACTCGCGGCATTTCTGAGCATGCTCCCGTTTTGACGTCCCTGGTATGCGGCGGATCAGCCGGACTAGGTACGATTCAAAGCCTGTGTCATGTTCTACACTCGCGCGCAAAGCAACCAATCTGACTCTCTCTTTTTGAATCGCGCGTATTAATGACCCCAGTCGCCCAATGCTGCACCTATCCGTTCGACCTTGTACGTCGTAGGTTGCAAGCTTTACATAGGCCAGACCTTATGACTGAACAAGAAAAGGTGCGTCAATCCATTTCCTTGAAAGAATTGGTCCGAGGGTTACTCGCAAAGCACGCGGCCCACTGACCAACTTTCTTTCCCATCATGATGTCCCGCGCGCCACCTTGTCCATTCCATTCGACTGCGCACTCAAACAGGCGTTTTTGAGAGCGGCCTCAAAAGGGAGTAGATTTGTTAGCTTTTCAATTGGCAGCGCCATTATGTATATCAGCAGGAAGGAAGGTCTCAAAGGCCTGTACAGAGGGGTTTCCCTGAACTTTTTGAAGACAGCTCCTGCTATGTCCATCAGCTTCACTTGCTACGACAAGATTAGGACGACGCTTGGGGTCCCACCGGGAAAATATTCTGCAACGAGAGGATGAGAATACTCCCTATATACCCAAGAAAACAATGTCTCACGCACGCATCTGCGAATTCTCCGCACCGGGATACTGACGCAGTCATTTATGTACAGTGCAAGATGCTTTCAGTGAAGCGAGAGTCAATTGTATCTCGCTCTTGCTGTCCTATTGACGGGCGTCGCACGCCAGCCCTGAGCAGTTCGACGTTCTCTGCCCGGGCGTTGATATCATTCTCCGTCAATGGGATCCTGGCCCTCCATGCCACGCTGCTGCGACTTTCTCGTCCTTCGGGCGTAACCATGACATTCCAGTGATTTGGAGCCGTTAAAGGGCCACCGCGGCCGTCATAAACAATAGCGGTTTGTGCAAAGAAGAAGGACTCCGGTTTCTCCACGGCTTGCGCGGAAATATCGTCGTCTTTGGATCTCGCTAGAATGCTTTTCTCCGTAATTACTTTTTCTGCGCACCTGTCGCACATAAACAATTTTGGGTCGTCCATCGGCTTATCCCATTTTTCTATCACGTCATGACTTCGAACGCAGCCTTTGTGATACCAAAGTCCACACATCCCACATTGAAGTGCTCTACCCTTACCAAGAGGATTGCCGCACTCGCAATGGCAGATGCGAAGTCCTGACGTCTCGCAAGCCACCAATTCTTCTTGATTCGTACCTTGATCACTCGCAGGCTGTGGAAGCCCACTTACTCGCACGTGGGGAAGTGCTCTGGCTCGCCATCTTTTCGGTTTCGACTTGCACCGCCTTCTCGTAGCGGCGCTTCGAAGAGCCACATACTCTATCGTGGTTTCTTCCGTCTCAGCTTCTTCAGATGCTTGATCAACAGAGTCACTCTCTTTGCTTTCCTTAATGAGCTTCTCACAGATTTCCATTGCTTCGAATGAACTCTTGGGTAATTCCAGAGAGCCGGGATCTTCCCTCGGGAATGGCTCACTTCCTTGAAAACATTTAGCAACTGGACTTGCCGGCTGACGCTTTATTGAAATGATGCGCTCGTCTCGGAAACTGTCAATTTTCTTTCGCAAACGAGCGTTTGGCGCATGGTTCTCGACAACTCGTGAACCCGTAATGCTTCGGTACCGATTCGAATTTGAAGCAAAAAAGTCTCCGCGCGGAGGTGGTACATGCGGGTGAGGTGGCCATAGCTCGGAGTTGTGTTGGTGTTGTAATCTGGTCCGCGGAATCCGGTATTCGGCAGTTTTCCACTCCTCGCGGTATCGGGATACGGAAACACCTTCCAAAGACCCTGCAGGATGGCGGGAAATTGGAGTCACCATCGATGTCACATGTCCCTTGCTTTGATAAGATCCAACTTCTGATATCACACCATTTGTTCCAGGCATGCCATGGTCAGTTCGTTGTCTCTTCGCGGGGTATGAAAACTGAGAAGGACGTGAATCAGGCCTTGAAGTGGGCGTCCCGCGAATCTCGTCCGAAAATCGATAAAGAGGTGCATCACGTTTTTCTTGACGTAGAGGACTACGGAGCGTAAATTCAAGAAGGCTTTCCTTGTGCTTGCGGGACGGAGACTCCCCAGCCAGGCCCCCGTTCGGCCCGCCGTTAGAATCACTCCGCATCCCATGGCTTTCATTATCTGGAGAGTTGACATTTTCTCTGTTAAAACGAGGAGTGAACGAAGACGCCGGCACCCTAGCATCTCTCGCCGGTAGGTCCAGAGGCTGTGGAAACCGCCATCTCTTCTGTACTGAATACAAAGTCTCATTCCGGCCAGTTTGCGTCACTCGCGCTTGACCCCCGCCGCTTGGGGGATCATCTCCACCAAGTCGCAAAGTTGCCGTCGGAGCAAACGGCGTCGATTGCACATTTTCCCGCGGTGCCACGTCTTGATTTTCCTCGTTAATAACCACAACCAAGGGCTTGCCTGCCGCTTCTGCATTCGGGGGCTTTGCTTTAATCAAATGCTGTGCGTTAATATCCTTCCATGGTATACAATAAACGATAGCGTCGCCCTTGAATTTGACTTTGACGTGAGTGTCCACGCCCTTACGCGCATCTTCTTGGACCGCGGCAGACTTGCGTCGACCACCGGGCTTTTTTGCATCGACCACAGAGCCAGCCTTTAGATTCATCTGCACTTTGCGAAGACGCTTGCAATGGGTCCAACCTCAGAGGCTGTGGGAGCCTTGGAACGGAAATGCGGTACGCCACTCTTGTCGAATGAAACTGTGCAAACGAGGCTTTACTCGGCTTTCTTCTTCGCGCGCAACAGCTCCCAGCCCTTTCAGACTAGCCACTGCAATGCAGCGAATGATGATGAGGAAGGTCCTGGCACCGGCCTTCGCGAAGTTGAGATTGGTGAGAAAGTCAACACCGTGGTACGAGAGCATCGTCATGCACGGATCAATTCCTATCTTCACGAATTTTAAATGTGTATTTTTTAAGACTGCATCTGAATGGTCAGACTACGACAATGCGGTTTCCACGAGAAGAGTGCTTCTCTACACAAACGCAGGAAAGCGCACTTCTCGCGGAAAACGCTCACGAAAGCTTCAACACATTCACAGGTGCATCTTTGAAACAAGCAGCCTAAGGATACCATATCGACGGCGATCGTGCGCTGCAAACGAATTGATCAATGTGACCTTGAATCTCGCCTTATCCTTCGAATGTTTTTGCAGCCTACATCTTGATGTAGGTGTGTACCATTTCTTCTCATGATGCCATATCGGTGTCCTTACCTGTTATTCCAACTCCGATCACTTGCACCTCAAAAAGGTGCTCCCACACATCGCTGAAAACCTGACTGCCAAGCTATCTTGTTTGGGCAATATAGCGCTAGTCAAGAGCACTGTAGCACATGGACAAACTAGAAAACCAAATGTCGTCGCCAACGTTGCTCTGCACCGGATAGTTAGGATAATGTACATTCGAACTCCGAGCTCTAGTGCGCGTACTGACAGAGAATTCCAGTGACTGCCACCCTTACTTCTCTACCTTAAGGTGACAGGCAAAGTCTCCGAAATCTGTGTTCTAAACTCATTATACAACTTATTCACCTCGGCGTGAGTTAAGGTCTTCTCCATGCTTCTAAAAGTTATTCTGAAACAGAGACTCAGACTCCCACCCTTCTTGAACGTATCTACTACCTTGACGTTCTCCACCAAATCCCCACATACTTCCCTGGCTAATTCATGTATGTCATTCTCATGAAACCTACTAATATCCTCCACCCAGAACGACACGTCCTTCTCAACAGCCGGAAAGACTGAAAATGGTTTGTACCGTGCTTCGATCCCCCTTTCATTGAATTGCCCAAGAAAGCGTTCATCTTCCGACCAGAACAGCCTTATATCTGGTACGCCAAACAACACCATAGCCAACCGTTCAAGTCCCATGCCAAAAGCCCACCCCTCCACATCGTCACTCACCCCACCCCGCTGCAGCACCTCTCTGTGCAGAAGCCCGCACCCTAGCACTTCCAACCATTCCCCCTGCCACGCCACTTCGAGCTCAAAACTCGGATGAGTGAAAGGAAAGTATCCCTCAACCCATCTCATCTCTACATCACCAAAGAGTGCCTTCGCCAGCCCGGATAAGGTCTGCTTGAGATCTTCCTCTACTTGTTTGCGCGACGTCCCCGACGGAAAGAGTCGGGCAGCGTCCACTTGATGGAATACAGGGTAATGCGTGCGATCGACTGTATCGCGGCGGTACACATCTCCACACAGAAGAAATGCAGTCTCTCCCGCAGCAAGTAGTTCCACATCATGCGCGGTCATGTGCGTTCGTAACAGCGTTGTATCGTCAACATAATAGGTGTCTGTAGGAGCGCGACTCACGTGACCTAGTGGTACGCGCAAATCGTCAAAACACTGCACTGTCGAGACAACGGGGGGCAATGATGAATGCATGCGGAAAGTGGACGGATACTTTTCGTGAATGTACGCCTCGATATGCTTGCGTAGAGTGTTGAGCGGGTGATTGCGGCGAAGGTGCAGTTGCGCCGATGTCTTTGCCCAGATAGAGGCCGGAACACGGCCTCGCGCTGAGGCTAGAGTGTCGCTACTTCTCGATCGTAGGGCGGGCTCCGATGCCGTCACGGTTGAGCTGCAAGAAAACAAACGACGCGCAACATGCCTAACCCGGAACCCAGATGTCAACATGATGGCGGGGTCACCGCGATTTCTCGCGAGATAATGAGAAGTTTTATAAGCAGTCGCAGAGCGCAATGCCCCACACCCCTCACTTCACGTATTCCCGTTCTCCGAGGGGAGATCAAAGCTGTCGGCGTTCCCTATGCCGTGGATGGCGATTAAAAGGGACAGAGAAGTGGGGTAGGGCAATAACTCTGGTCGATTCCCCAAAACGAGAATGTTTTTTTGTTTTGTTTTTTAAACTGTATCATGGCTATTTTATTGAAACCCCGTAGCAGTGATCAGTGAGCGATTGCCATTCTGCTTCTCTTTGACTTTCTCACTTCTGCACGAAGCGCAGTTATACAGACCCGCACACTTCTTCATTCTGCCGCGACTATCATTAGCCACTCCGAAAAGGCGTTTTCCAACGGCTCTACTCCGCTAAAAACCGCCAATCCTGTTGTGCTCTATAAGACACAGAGTGCAACTTTAAGGGCTCAGCTTCACAACATAATTCGAGTCCAAAGGAGACAAAAAGTGGCATGAAGAGTCAATGACAGAATGGGTCATCAATGTACATTAAAAATTACGCTTCTGTGCGGCCTGTTTCGCATTGGATTCCTGTTCGATCTGCTTCGCAGGACTGAACGCCGCAGTCTTCTTGAAATGGTCTGGCGCCTTAGCCTCAATGACAGTGTGGGCTTTTACACTTGAGAGCACTTTGTCACAGAATATAGAAAGAGCACCTTATGTTAACAAGGCCTCTTCATATTGCGCAAGGAAAAGTTCGCTCTCTGTGGCTGCGCTGATTTATTCATTTCGGACATGTTGTCCCTGGGCGCCGCAGTTCAAGCAAATTTCTCGCCGTTTTTTTTTTTTTTTTTTTTTTTCGCTGCGACAAGTTGTGATATAATCTAGAGCGCCAACAGATCTGGTTGTGAATCTTGTAGCACGGCAGTCATAGTAACAGGCGAAGTTGTCTCGGCCCACTACGGCTGTTTTTCTTAAGAATCGGCAGCATTGCGGGTTCTGTTTTCTGTTGATTGAATGAAAATATATTGATGCCTTCACAATGCCGGAAATGTCGATGTCAGAAATATTTCGTGAAGGTAAAACCGAATAGAAAGCACTCTACGAGACGTCTCTATGCTACTGGTATGAAGTTAGCTTAAAGAAACATGAGTACTGTAAGGCATTTTTTTTCTTTTGAACAGCTTTATGTGCGCCAACGAATTCCTTTCTCTAGAATTAACGAGCAGGTGTTTTACCTGCGGTGATGGACTTTTAGTTGCAAAAAAGCAGAATTTAAATCGCGGTTTGCGTTGTCTAGAAAAAACAAAATAACTCGGGTCCTCATATGAGGACTAACGATCCGATAGACACTAGTAGCTAGTGTCTAGACAACAACCGATTTGCATCATATGGGGTCTCGATAATAACATCTTGCAAAGCAATGGGAAAGCAGTTGTCAATACATAGAAAGACTAAGAATCTAATGATGTTTCAATGGTCGATTGAAATTTTAAAAAGGCGTTTGGTTTCGAAGATATCAACACAAAATGTTTTGAGGTTGGTCAAAAAGGCTTCTTTTTAGGGATTCTCAAAATGGCTGGAAAACACGTGCAAATCTCACTAAACTCCATCCTTCCGCGACGCATAAGTCAACTGCGGTGGCGAGAGTATCTTTTCCCTTCTTGTTGAGCAACCGCAAGTCGAGAAAAAATAGTTTGAAAAGTAGCATCATATGAGGTCAGTTGTTTTCTAGAGTAGGTGTCTACTCTAGAAAACAATTGAACACTGGTGTCTGTCCGACCATTGTTCTCTCTATGAGGACACTTTTCGACATATTTTTTCTTGATTTGCGCTTTCTCGACATGAAAGAAAAAGATACCCCCGCCACCGTACTAGGCTTCTGCCATGGGACCAGAAAGAACTTTTTGAGAATTGCATATCTTTCCTGGTCGTTTTTAGACATGTTTAGAAAAGATGCTTTATTAAACCACCTTAAAACCGCATGTAAAATAACTTCGAAACGAAAAACGTCAGTTTAAACAGGGAACTAGGTACTCAGTGTGTATTAAATTCTTAATCTCTCTGCATATGCAAAGCTGTTATCCCGCCTCTCTGCGAGATCCTATTGCCGAAAGCAAGCACGTTAAGGAAATAGTGTCCAAGATAGCTTTTTAAAATGTTCGATTATTTATTTTTTGCAAAAATAGAGTTGTCTTCATATGAGAACATCGCCTCCTTCGTTTGAGGACATGCTCCAGTCGGATAGACACTAGAGCTGTGAATCAGCCACTGTAAACGTCTACTCTGTTCGTGAAAAACTGTCATGGGTATGTTAGTTGGCGGAGGGGACGAGCTGTCGGTAAATGTGCTTTCAGGAGAATGCCATGGATAATTGCGATCGAATCAAGAAGTGTGCGATGTTTGTCAAGGCACGTCGCGCGAAAGTAGCTAGATAAAAGAGAATCCGAGCTGCTTCGTCGAATTTGTTAGTAAGCACATTTTTTACATGCCTTTACAAGCGACTGTAAACTTTTAAATTTCACACCGTGACGAATGGATATCCGATATCTGCCTCAGGGTTTATGCAATACAGTCTTTAGAAGTCGAGTAGAACGTGATCCGTTCGTGGACTTTTTCAAGCTGCACAAGTAGATCACAATTTTGAAGCAGTAGCAGCTTGATTCCCCATTGCTTCTGCCTCTATTGAAACATCCAAACATGATTCAGCCCTCGTAACCGCAGTTTTGAAATATCTCAATCATGGCTCAAAATTTGCTCGTCTTCAAGGTTCAAAGGTTTCGATGTTCCAAGCTCTGAAACTATATCTTACCATCTACTACAAACACGGTATTGAAACATATAGCATCGAGAAGAGAAAGACAAAACAGCAAAGCGCATTTTCAGATCGCCCTTTCGTCTGCGTATACGTCTGCGAGTAAACCGTACCTCTCACGTGCTTCACCTGAAAGACCAAGATGGACGTCCTGGAACGTACAAAAAAAGTCCCCGTGCCAGTCGGTCGCCTGCACGGCAAAAAAGAACCCGTGCCAGTACGTCGCAGAAATAGGAAAGAAAAGCAAACAGAAAGAATGAAAAGCCCCGAAAAAACATGCCGTGACTCGCGTTAGCAACAGCACCTTTCTCAAGCGCTGTTGCGGTAAGTCTCGCAGGCAGGGAGACTGCCCATTTGACATATGTTCTTTGGTGCAGTCGCCGGGACGCTTGCGAGACTTACCTTTCAAACGAAAAAAAAAAAACTCGTATTCGTGAACCATTTCCCAAACCAAATTGAAGCAAGGTTGAAGCGGTTGCGTCGGAGGCGTCGGTGCAGTTGGTGCAGTTGGTGTGGTCGGTGTGGTCGGTGTGGTCGGGGCGGTCGGTGCGGTCGGTGCGGTCAGTTAAGGTTGGCGGTGGATGTGGGGAAGGGAAAGGGGGAGCACACAGTCTGGTTCATTACGTGTGCTTGTTGTACTGATGCGGAGAGCTGCATTTATTTGAGTGTGGATGTAAGATTCGAGATTCATCGTTGGAGAGACAGACAGTGAGCGCATGTGATGTCATGTTTCAAGCATGATTTCTGCGGGGAGGGAGCCTCCGTGACTGTCTGCTTTTTTCATTGAGTATGAATCGTGTTTCGGCCGGGAGTCTGGAGGCATGCATCATCGTGCGTTCCGGTTTGTATGCACAAATAGCATTACTGCAGAAAACAAGCTAAACGTGGGATCAAGTAAAACGTGGTATCCGTGCGATTTGTGTGAGAAGGACTGCGGCTGCGCAACATCACCCTGAAGCTCTTTGCCCCGAGACTCCAGCGCCATCTGCCGACAGTAACCACCTCGGGCGTCGAGGTGTAGATTTTCATCGATTCCGGACTCCGAGTGTCTTCCCCACACGATCCCGGTTTCTAGGGTCCGAAACCCCCTCGACAAATGACGTCACTGTGCGTTATGCGGGTTGATTTTGTAGTATATTGACAAGTGGGCTCCGTGCGCGCTTCGAGCGCCAAGCCAAGTCCCTTCCTCCTCCGCTCCTCGTTCTGCACACGCTGTCGTTCCCCGCCCCGCTTCTCTCCTTCCTTCTGCGCTAACTCTCCCGTCTTCTCTCCGGTCTTTGTCGCCCCTTGCCCCCTCGTCCTGCCACACGTTACTCGCCCCTGCGCGTCGCGCCCGGTCCGCGCCGCTGCCCTCAGCGCCGCTGCCCGCCTGTGTCGCCTTCCCCCCCGGCCGCGGTTCGGTCCCTGCAGCCCGCAAACATGGTCAGCGCCGCTGCCCTCCACTCCGCCGCTCGCTTCCGCCTAACACTGCTACCTGGCAGCGGCTCCTGGCACCCACCCGCCTGCGCGCGCCCTCCTGCACCGCCGGCTGCGACACCTGCCCGGCTCGCAGCGACCACTTTCCCCGTTCTTCGCACCTCCGTGACGCCCGCGGCCCGCGCCGCCGCCCTCCGCGCCACCGCTCTCACCACTACCTCGAACGCCCCTTGCCAAGCGCACCCGTCCACTACGTCCCCGCGCCGCAGGCACACCCCGCCCACCAGCCCGCAGAACGTCTCTGCCACGCGCGCGTCCGTCTGCCCCGCCACTGCCACCCACCACGCACGTCGCCCGCCACATCTCGCCGCGCACGGCGCTCTTCGCCGCGTGCTGCCCGCTCATGTTGCGCAGAAGCTCCACGCAGCTCGCCACCACGCGCGCTTCGCCCGCCTGCCAGTCCAGCAGAGTCTCCGCAGCCGCTTGGAACCGCTTTGCCTCGAGCTGCATGCACACCGCATCCGCGATCTCGCGCGCACGCCCGTCCCACCCGCCGCACTCGCCCACCACGGCGTCAACGCCTGTCTCCGCTGCTACCCGGCACACCACGTCCGTCACCGTCTCTGAGCAACCCAGTTAGCGCCCGCTCGCCGTCGCGCCTCCCCCACCTCCCAACACGCGCGCCCAGTTGAAGCCCGCTCGCCGTCCCGCCTCCCCCGCCGCCCGGCACGCGCGCCCGGTTGAAGACTCTTGTAGTACTCCACGC